AGAAATGGTGACCCCTCTTATGTCCCTCTCATCATTGCTGAGTCATCTCTCCCTTGCTCTATGACCCGCAGCTGCTCCCTATTACTTCCCTATGGCTTCAGAGCTGAGAGAGGGCAGAAGAGATCACTCCTAATTTGTTTGGGATCTGTCACAGACCCTCTGTGTGTCTGGTACTCCTGTTGATGGCGTCCAGCCCAGAGTCCTGAGCTGAGGCAGGGCCAGGGGCCTGCGCTGGTGCAGGCATCGCACAGATCCGTATTCATTGTGAGTTGGTTCCCCAATTGGTGCACCAAGAATACAGAGGATGCTTCTTGCTAAATCTCCTGCCCTGCTGTATGGCCAGGGAGGAAGGAGCACGGGGCATGCTTGCCAAAGCCAGGTATGGTGGTGCACACCTGTTAACCAGCATTTGGGAGGCTGAGGCAGGAGGATTTCCATGAGTTCAAAGGCAGCCTGTACTACATAGCAAGACCCTATCTCCACAAACAAAACAAAAGACAAAGACATGGACAAAAGAGTCAGAAGAAAAGACTAGCAATTATCCTTCGAGGTGGACGACCCAGCCATGGAGGCCCAACCTGGTCCACGGGGCCAAGCCAGATCCTGCCTGCTTCTGTGGGTAGCTTTATTGGAATGTGACCATGCCTGTCCTTTTACATATTGATCCTGGCCAGACTGCATTGTGACAGAGCCTCAGGGGCCCCAAATTTAAAGTGCTTACGTCTTGGTCCTGGGGACTCTGCAGACCCGGCTCCAGAAGCAGGCAGGGCAGGGCACTGAGGGGAGCGCCAGACTGAAGCAGGGCCATGCTGGGAGACGAGCCCAGGCAGAGATGAGTCTATGACCAGCTGCACACATGTTAGGAGCGTGATGTGCACCACCTATAGAACAAATTTAGGCTGACTTCCAAAGGGCTCCTACCTATGTCCTCCTCTATTTATTACAGTGCTTCCCTCTTGATCCCTGTCACCTGACATCTCCCTGGTATCCTCTCTTTAAAGTGACCCTTCCAGCCTTTTCTCAGCACCAAAGCCAGTGCCAGCCTTCTTCTGGATAACAATCTAGTCTTTTCACTGTGGAAGACCCTTCTGTACCTGTAACTCGGACTAAAATAATACCCAGTACTCATGCCTCACTTATTATTTACTCCACACATGTTACTGAGATAAATATGTGTTATTTTGTTGAATCCTCTCAAAAAACCATTAAATATTACTGTTATACTAATACTTAACAGATGGAGAGCCATAGGCCCAGAGATCTCCAGAGAATAACTTCCCACATCAAACCTGGGTTTTGGTTTCAAGAGGTGTGACTCTACAATAGCCAGTCCTCCAGATGGCCCTCCATGGTCCCTACCTCCTGGTACTCCCACAGTTCTGTTGTCCCCTTCCACGTGGGGTCAGATTGGTGTGACCAGTAGCCTGTGGCAGAAGTGATAGTATGAGACTTCCAAGGCTAGACAGGAAAGATGTGGCTTCTGTGTTGATCTGTCTCTGGGATCCCCTTCTCTGGACACAGGCAGCTGTGGTATTGCTAGAGTGTTCTCGGCAGCTCTGATAAAGAACTAAGGTCTCCCCTGCAGATAGCCTGCCAGTAGCTAAGGTTGTGAGGTAAACTTGTAAGTAAGCCAAGCTATTTGAGGGAGCCATCTTGGAATGAGGAGCCATCTTGAAACAAGGGAGCCATTTTGAAACAAGGAAGCCATCTTGGAATAAGGAAGCTGTCTTGGAATGAAATCCTGGAACCTTGAGGTGGCCACAGCCATGGCAACACCTTGAAGAAATCTCAGGAGAGACCTGGGGCTGAACCATCCAGCTAAGCTGTCCCCAGTGTCTGCAGCCACAGAAACTGTGTGATGCAAATGTACATTATTTTAAACTGCAAAATTAGCTGTGTATGGCGGTACATACCTGTAATCCCAGCATTCTAGGAGGCTGAGGCAGGAGATCATAAGTTTGAGCCCATCCTGGGCAACTTGGCAACTTAGCAAAACCCTTTTTCAAAATAAAAAAAAAAAAGAAATAAAATAAAAGAGTTAAGGATGTAGCTCAGTGAGAGTGAGTGCAATGTCTAGCAGTGCAAAAGAAATAAACTACAAAGGCTTCTAGTGGTATGCTATGGAGCAGTGAAAATACATTCTGCAACTCTCACAAACTCAGTTCCCACGCCCACTGGGCAGGATGGCACAATGTCCACTACTGCCCCGTATGGTAGGCAGTCAGAATTCTTACATAGAAAGCTAAGCTTCAGTGGCTCAGAAAGGCCACCCAGGATGCGGAAGATGTGCCCAGCCCCTGATGTGCCCAGCAGGCTCCATGGTGGGAGGAGGTCCATGGGGTTGGAGCAGGTGACTGCAGGGACACATAGAGATGAAATCAGGGAGGGATGAGAGGGCTCTGGTCAAACAAGATCCAAGGGGTGAATTTAGAACTTTGGTCTGGAGGGCCCAGACCAGAGCAATGATGCCTTCTTTCAACTCGTACTTAGTGCCCACCTTCCTGCTAGCAATAAGTGTGCAATGGAACTTAGCCATAGTAATTAATCCTAACTAACATCGGGTCACTGATAGTTGCGAGCCAGGCTTTATGGAGCATCACTTTCCGGGATGAGCAGCCTCATTTGTCAGTGGGGAAACCGAGACTAGCAGGGCCCAAGGCCACCCACTGCTGAATACGGTGTGTGAGTGCGCCCTGGGCTCCGGACGCAGGCGGGCTGGCCTGGCGGGTCAGGCAGCCGTTGTCAAGATGGCTGTTAGTTGACCGTGAACAGCTGTGTGAGGAGATCTGCGGCATCAGCAGTCATCGGGGATGTGCGCACCAATGAAGTGTGCCAGCTTCCATCTGTGGGATGGCTCCAAGAAGGGTGAGAGCAAGGGGGGTGGAGGAAAGAGAGCCTGCGTGCAGTTAGGGGGATGTTAATTAGCGCAGCTGTTATGGAAAACAATAAGGAGATTCCTCAAAAAATTAAAAATAGAACTACTGTGTGATCCTACAATCCTACTTCTGGGCACAGAGCCAAAGGAAATAAAATTGGTGTGTAGAGTTACACCTGCTCTCGTGTTCATGGAAACATTATTTACAGTAATCCAGATTTGGAAGACTTGGAACCAATACACAAAGGGTTAAAAAAATGTATTGTCCACACACAGTAGAATACTATTCAGTCCTAAAAAATATGGAAACCCTATCTTTGGTAGCAACATGGATGAACTCAAAGGATACTTTGTCAAGTGAAATCAATCCAGCGTGGAATGACAAATGCCACATGATTTATCTTATATGTGGAGGCTAAAGAAGTGATTTACAGGACTGGGGATTTAGCTCAGTGGTTCCACCACCTGCCTCACAACTGCAATGTCCCGAGTTCGATCCCTGGTACCACAAAAAAAGAACTGGCTCACTGAAGTAGTTAGATTGGTGGTTGGGAAATGCAGGGACCCTGGTCAAAGGGTACAGAGTTTGTCAGAAGGAGATGTTTTAGTGATTTACTGCTCTACATGGTGACCATGCTTAATAGAAATGAATAGGATATTTCAACATTTTTAAGGGTCGATTCTAACTGTTTTCACTGAACCAATAACAAAAAGCTAAGTAGGTGAGGTGTGGGTGTCTTCATGGCTCTGTGTCAATCTTTGTACAGTGTCTACAGTTGTCCAAATGTATTTATCAAAATGGCATGGTGTCCTATAAATGCACAATTATTATTTGCCAAGTAAAACTTGATTCATTTGACAAATTTAAAAGTAAAAACTTGTCGGGCGTGGGGGTGCACGCCTTTAATCCCAGCACTCGAGAGGCTGACACAGGAGGATTGCGATGAGTTCGAGACCAGCCTGGGCTCATAGCGAGTTCCTGGTCAGTCTCAACTACATAGTGAGACCCTGCCTCAAAAAAAAAAAAAAAAAAAAAAAAC